TTTATGTTAAAATTTCATTTCTAGCATGATTATCGTTTAATTGGATACTGAATTATCCGCTGCTTAAAAGTTAAAAAGACGAGTTTATTTATTTGAAGAACATAATTTGATTGGCTGTTTCTTTCCTTTAAGTAGAGTATTACTCGCCATGTTCACGAATCCAAGGTATGCCAATACTCTGAAGACAAAATAACTAAATCAGTCAATAACTAAAACTTTTACCGAACAGGATGTTTCTAGAAAGGTTGATTTACTCATACCAACTTCTACTGATCAGGATGTTTCTATCAAGGTAGATTTACACATGCCAACTTCTACTGATCAGGATGTTTCTAGCAAGGTAGATTTACTCATACCAACTTCTACTGAACAGGATGTTTCTAGCAAGGTAGATTTACTCATACAAACTTCTACTGAACAGGGTGTTTCTAGAAAGGTTGATTTACTCATACCAACTTCTACTGAACAGGATGTTTCTATCAAGGTAGATTTACTCATACCAACTTCTACTGAACAGGATGTTTCTAGCAAGGAAGATTTACACATACCAACTTCTACTGAACAGGGTGTTTCTAGCAAGGTAGATTTACTCATACCAACTTCTACTGATCAAGATGTTTCTAGCAAGGTAGATTTACTCATACCAACTTCTACTGAACAGGATGTTTCTAGCAAGGTAGATTTACTCATACCAACTTCTACTGAACAGGATGTTTCTAGCAAGGTAGATTTACACATACCAACTTCTACTGAACAGGGTGTTTCTAGCAAGGTAGATTTACTCATACCAACTTCTACTCAGCAGGATGTTTCTGGCAAGGTAGATTTACACATACCAACTTCTACTGATCAGGATGTTTCTAGCAAGGTAGATTTACTCATACCAACTTCTACTGAATAGGATGTTTTTAGCAAGGTAGATTTACTCATACCAACTTCTACTGAACAGGGTGTTTCTAGCAAGGTAGATTTACTCATACCAACTTCTACTGAACAGGGTGTTTCTAGCAAGGTAGATTTACTCATACCAACTTCTACTGAAAAGGGTGTTTCTAGCAAGGTAGATTTACTCATACCAATTTCTACTGAACAGGATGTTTCTAGCAAGGTAGATTTACTCATACCAATTTCTACTTAACAGACGTCAGACAGAGCGCATCTGATATGGCTTCAAGTAGTAAAGGAAGTAAATCAAGCCATACTTATTTTTCTTCAAATGCATATTATTATTCTGAAGATGAATTGTTTAATAAATGATATAATGAGTGATATAAATGATCCCGACTTTTTAGTGGACCACATACAATCGAGTAGTAGTGATTCCGACTCATTCTCAGGTCAGTCGCTATAGAAGATAGTGAATCATCTGATGACGTACCCAGGATTATTGTCCTACCTGCATACAAATGCCAACCAAAAAACAGGAGATCCAAAGAGGAATAGTTGCTCCTTCATTCCTAAGAAAGGAATTGTAAAAGATGGCTGTAAAACAATTTACGATAAAATAAACTTTTGCACATACTGTTCAAAACGTATTGCCTCCGAAATTTCCATACACCTGTTAAGTGTCCATAAGGACGAAGAAAAAATAAGAGAAATCCGTATGAAAAGATCAAAAACCAGATTGATAAACCTTGAAATTTTAGCAAATGAAGGAAAATAAGTTCTTAAAGAAAAGAAAGGGGAATTTATCGTTGGAAGAAGAAATACAAAAACAACAATCAAAGATTTTTTACCCTGTGAGTATCGTAAGATATTTATATTGAAACAAAACCTGTGGAATCATAGA